ATTAATTACCTTTAACTCCAAATCAATGAAATGCTATACAAACTTTGAATTGAACTATAAAGTGAACAGTAAGAGGCTGTTTAATTTTAACCGTGGCGATTTCTAGTATACCATAAAAATTTTAAAAAATTAACTTATTTGATCACAGCTTTAAGGATAGTTGTCTCATTGGCAATCATACTACATCTCCTTATTTCTATATTCACTTGAGTCTGTTTACTGTTGTGATTTGTCTAACAAATGATTGAAGACATGTTTTCAATACTCCATATTCTGTTATACTTATTGCTTTAAACAATGGACAATACGACGACCACATCATGCGTATGGGCCTCATATTGTTTTAGCGTTGCTTTTTGTATCTCATACACGTTAAGTGCTATTAATTGTTTCTACATCTCATTAATTGGATATGTCTCAGTGACGTTTGGTTTGGTTTTGATTCGGTTTTATGTGTATGTTAGATGATATTTCATCGCCTTACATATCATGTTCTTATTCCTTTTGTTGTGATAGAACCAATTCGAGCGTATGAACAAATTGAGTAAATTATGAAAATATATTCCCAATTGTTCAAATTATCAATTTTCCTAGACAAGGTTATAGTATTTATAAAGTTATTAATAATCTGTCTTTGGGAATACTCTCACTTCTTTATTTGCCTCCTAATAAATTCCAGTCATTTAATAAACCGTTGTAAAGCTATTGATCAACTCAATACGTCTTCCTAAATTCTCATATAGAGTCTTCTTTAATCTGAGGATGATATTCAGTTTATTGACTTTTTATACATTCGATACGACTCGGTAAAAATGATATATCTAATAATAGTTTGGAACTTTTATTCTTTCGTGATAACTAAAAAAATTAGTTTGTACAAGTATATTCCTACAGAAATTATTGCAGATTTTTATAAACCCTTATTTAATCCAATGAAATCCACACTGTAAATGCATGTACTTACTTTTGAAGGTTTTTGTCTTTACTTCTTCAGATCTCTCTTCTTTGCTTTTACTCTGAGTTATTTTATATTGGTTCTTATCCTACAATTGATTTTGGAATTGGTTCGAAAAGTTTCTGAAATTGTCCAGGGCTAACAGAAAAACGGTTAAAGTTGGTGTTTCTGAGTGGTCATGATTGTTTAAAATGGAAATATGACGAACTCCAGAGAAAAAATGTAAATAACATAAATGATTAGGGACACTTTATCATATTTTTGCTGAAGGAGACAAGCATTTTTTGTTTGTAATTTCAATAGTCTGCATGCTGATTTATTCAGACCCAGGGCTTGAGAGATATATACATTTTTATGCATAACGTACAAGTGGCAATTTTTTGTCCTGGTATAATGTTTTTATTTCGTTGCTTGGCGTCAGAGATAGAAGCAACATTGTTTCATTATGGATATTATGTTAACGGAAATCACATGTTCCAGTTCACTTCATTTGCATTCTGTCTGGACGGCTAATACATAAGAGTAATGAGAAAACTAAAGAAATAAACTGATAAATGATTATATAACAAATCAAATCAGTTCAATAAATGCATAGCCATCCATTATTGTAAGAAGTTAGTTTACTAATGGTACAAAATTGCTAATTAATTAAGGAGAAGAAGTTCGTCATATTTTTTCTAGAGTAGAGATAATTGTATTTGTATAATTTATTTTATTTTTAATTCTATATTGAATTATTTGGGTTTTTTTAGTTACATTTAGTTAAGGACGATTCCGCATTACCGTCTCATGATTTCGGTTATAGTAGATTTTCCATAGCAAAAGTGAAATATCATCATATAAATTTTGTTCACAATAATATATTAAGATTCATCGAAGATACCAAGTTTATAATTTAGTGAAACAGTACAAAGTTGTTAGTAAAAAAAGAGGCGGAAGATACCACGCTCAAAACCAATCGACTAAAGACTACTCGGCTGGTGATATCCTCGGGGACAAAACGTCCACCAGCAGTGGTAACGAGCCAGTAAACTTAACTAAATTGTTTCACTAATATAGATTAAAATTAAAATCTACCTACTATTTAATGGTAATGTGTGTATGCAATTCAGTCAGTATTCTACTTCGTTAAAACTATTTCACCGTTACGCCGCCATTTTTTTTAAATCAAGTGTTGCCGTTATGTACTTGCCGATTTCACTTCTCTCGCATCAACATCTAATTCAATTCCATTTTAATGAAGAGAAACGTGTACTGTGTTTTCATCTCTGTTATCATCTTTCAGATAAAAAAATAACGAGTGAACAAAATTTAAAAAAAAAATAAGTAAGAAATACACCTCATGTTTTAACATTTGTAGAAGCACGAAGCTTATTTTGTTTCCCAAAAAAACTGTTGCCTAGGGGAACGATGCAAATTAAGGCTTTGAAAAAAGATCAATCTTTCTATCTGTCTGCGGTATTATTGTCGGTGGAATTTATGCTTTACATATTAAATATCCAAATGTATTCACACCTACCATAATTAACTGTTTTGTGAAAGTGTATTTTTAATTTAAAAGTTTACAAATATCTTAAAGCTCTAAACTATGAATAGAGTATAATCACGATGCATAAAATCCATAGATTAAACTTTTTATAGCAAGAAAAAACAAATGTAAATATTCAGATATACCACTTGACCTTCTCTAGAAAAACGTTCCAATTCTTTTGTTTTATTTCAACTGGATATCAGCCTGATTTTATCTGAATTAATCAAATGACAAACATACTATAATTATCAAATAATGTTTGAGATAAGGGTAATGGCCTAAAATGATCATCAAATAAAACATATTCGTGTAATGACTCTGACGTAGATATATATACCGTCATATTTCAGAAGACTGGTCATATTTAAGGAACTTTAAATGAAATGAACCACAAATGAGTTTCATTGTCACTGCCACCACCCCATCCTCCTTTCCTAGTAAACGACATTGCTGAGACTCAGATTATAATTTACGATGTACTCAATATTTAGTTTTCTGAAGTGTTTTGGTTACTGCTGTCTGTTAATTTGTCCTTTCATTTTGGCCAGTGTGTTACCTGTTTGTCTTCAAATTTGATACACGTTGGTATGTTTTTACTTTTTTAAATGTTTAATAAATCATCAAACAGTCCTATTTTATGTATGGTTAATATATACTGAGACTTATAGTGAAGTACAATGAAGTGAGTAATGCATCAATAACATTTCAGTTGTTAATTAACAGTACAGTAATTGTGATATTCATGTGTACCATTTTCGAGGTCTAACTGCATAGGTCTAATGTGATGATTTGCTGCTACGTTTAGACTCGCTTGCTCTTTTCACAAAATAATCTAAGAACCAAAATTACTCTATAATAGTTAAACTGAATTTTTCAATACTCATAAGTTACCTTTTTTGTAAGATTTTTGAGAAAATAACCACTGACCAATGACGTTATTTACCTGAAGACGATTGTTGTCCATACAAAATTTTATATGTAAATTACTTAGCAACAAATTCTATTTGACAAACAGCATATTACTTTAACTACTTCAGTAGTTACAATTTGGTTCGTTAGAAATCAATTTAATGCAAACAAATTTCTGCTTTAATGATGTCAGAAAATCAGTAGAAAAATACAAATCTATTGAATAAACGTTTTATCCACTATCAACCGCTAAAGTGTTTAAAGGAATGGGTTACGATTTATCTAATTTGATTTTCGTCTTATACATTAACTGAGCATCGCATTCCAAATAATGCATTCATAGTAGGTGATCCTTTCACTGTCGAAACTCCCCGTCGACACGTCTAGTCTGAATCCGTAAATAGTTCAAGAGATTCATATGGCACCCGGATCCGGGGTTTAACCTGACGTCGTTGTACTAGCTTTCGTATTTAATACGTTATTACCAGAGAACTGAAGCTTATGTTGTTTTTCTTTACTCTATAACCCATTAGATTTCATACTGGTGATGAGGCGTAGGATAAAATTTTAGTAAGGTAATAAACACTATGATTTAAGTTTGTTTTGGCAATTGAAAATGTAGTTTTTTGCAAAATTTCAATTAAATGATTGCCGTACTGTCACAAGTATCACCTGTTTGATTTTTAGTGGATTTTTTTCTTTTAAATTACCTTATATATGCTCTATAAGTCATACAATTTCTCTGTTTAAATGGTAAAAAACATACTCCTAAAACACAAAAATATCGCTATTTGTTGTTTTCTGTGTTATCAAACTATTACATTAGTAAATCAAACAAACGAAATTTTGGAGAAATATTTGTGTTTCTATATTCTCCCTGGTGCGGTCTTTCGAAAAGCACCATGTCATTAAAATTGTTCTAGCTGAATCCAGATGTTTCTTAGTTATTTTATCATGCAAGTATTGTATTCAAATATGCCACTCATATGACTATTAGAGATTAAACCGAGTTTTAAGTAGGGAGAAAATAAAAAAGGGTCAATAAAAAATATATTAATCCAGTCAAACCCATTACCAAAATGAAAATGACATAAAGACAAACATGTCCCCAAAAAGACAGAAAACTAAAGATTGGAAACACGAAACCCAAAAAATAAGGAGTAAACTCCGGTGCTTGGGAAAGGTAAGCAGTTCATTATCTACACCGTCTTGTTGCTCATTGCAATTAAAAACTTGTATCAGGTATATACTCCATATAAAGATGCAGCAGAAATGTTGCTACACAGAAATGAAAGGTTAACCATGGGAAAAAAGAAATAAACTTTTTGTCGTAAATTTTATTTCTTAACCGGCCCTCGACAATAGTTTCAGCTTATTAAGTGAACTATCAAATCATATGAAATTTCAATCCTGGTATCTATGATGAGTTCATTTATGACATTTGCTTACAATGTTAGTAAATCCAAGGCAAAACCATTCAAATATATAACAATATGATGTTTTAATATGAATTCATTACTAGTAAAGATGATTAAGGTGGTACATTTATTTTCGCAATAAGAAGATTGAAATATTGATGTTTGATTATTTTTTATTTATTTTCAGGTCTTTACTATGGAATTAATATTGCAATAGTTTCATTTGCAACTGCAATGACAGTATTTACATTAAATATCCACCATAAAGGTGCAAGAGGATATGAAGTGCCGAATATATTCCGAAAAATATTTTTTGGTGTCGTTGCAAAGTTATTGTGTATAAAACTAGACTTGCCACCAGAACCTGGAATGGTAAGTTTATCTTTGGCTTGGCAAAATGCTCTATTTATAACCTCGATATTCGATTTGGGGTAGCGTACATAGTTGATAACATTCCTTGATGGTTTCTGCGCAGCGTTTCTCGTCCAGTATACTGTATCAGCTGAGGGAATAACGTATAAACAAAATAGGATCAATAACATACGTGTGTATACCAAAATATTTCACTTCCATAAGTCCAATCATTACAAACATGCAGTTTTATAAGATAGTTAGTACCTGCCGTTTTGCTCTTAATTCTTATACAAATTCAACAAAAACGGTAAAACAAGTTTAGCTTTTAATAAATTGACTACAAACGAACAGATCGTGCAGAATGACAGAGCCCTATAAACCGTCTTATCTTGTCTGTATGTTGGCATTTGTTTTCTTATTTTGTTTTTGTTGCTTTTTTCTGGGTCATTACCGAATAAATGCGTCATACTTTTATATATACCCTTGTGCATCTACAGAGTGACTTGAATACATGACTTATAAAAGGGGGTGAAAGATACCAAAGGAGGCAATCAAAATCCTTAATTCAAAGGGGAAAATAGACAACACTATGGAAAAAACACAAAAGATTAAACACAAAAAACCGGACGTGAAATAAAATTATCCAGATTTGCAAGCAGTTTCTGTCCCACTAGAGGTACCAGTAGTGCTGCGCATGGCAAGTATCCCAAAAGTACTTCAAGGAAATCATCGTCTATCTTATATCATTTCATCTACAGAAAAATGGCGTTCATCTTCCAACTCACTTCTGCCTATCATCAAAGAAACGAAAGCGCTCTTCTCAATTACAAGAAAAAAAAAACCAGAAAGATATCCAAATTACTTTGATGGACCGTATGTGCATTCCGGGTATTCTTTCCTGTTAGTATTACTTCATCAATATTAAAAATCAAACATTTGAAATATCAAAAATAGCAAATATTGAAAAGCAATTGTCTCAAAGTAACAACAAAATGACACCAAATATAGACAATAGACAATAGACAATATTTATTAGCACAAACACATTTACATTCAATGGTTATGGCATACAGTATTGAGACAATAAACTGACAATAGTTAAATTGACTATAATTATATTAGAGTGACAGTGGTATTCACCGGGGGGGGGGGGACCATAAATATGTGTGTATCGACAGTTAACACATCATTAATGTTCATGTACAAAAAACAAAAACAAAAATTGGGATACATATATATTGAACAGATATATAGAGGGGTAATTGTGAAAAATACCAGTCGAGAGAATGTTAAATTTCGCGAGCCGTAAGGCGAGGGAAATTCATTCTCAATACTGGTATTTTTCGCAAATACCCCTCAAGAACATGCTATATCTGTTTAATTACACCGAATGTTAACGTACGAAACGCATTGATGATCGTGACATAAAACGCATTGATGATCGTGACATTACAAGCGCCCAGTCGGATAGAGTATTATTTGGCAAATAACACGGCAGAGAGGGTAAAAAAGGCATATCCTTTTTGTATATACCCCGGCGCTGTTTAAAAATGAACGATATTCATTTGATAAAAGTAAATTGGTGAAAAATACACTGGCTATCAACCAATCAAAACCCAGGATTCTTACATAAGGTGTAATTATAAAAGAAATATAAGTTATACAGATGTTCTCAATAAAAAACAATAATTGATATACTTTATGGTGAGTTTTATAATGACTGGCAGACTGCTATTTAAATGTGCGGTCATATGCCTCAGTGTTATAGTCGACTGCAATTTGACAAAATTGAAATTAAGATTTTTATTAATATTTTGTATATAGGTGTCCCTCAATGATATATAGCATGGACAGACTGAGAAGAAATGGTATTCATCCTCAATTTCTTGTCTATTACAGGATAAGCAAATGCGTTTACTTCTTTCGGTGTTGGTATAACGCCCCCTTTCAATTGCTAGGGAATGGGCACTGAGTTAAAGTTTACCAAAAACTGATCTGTCAGTTTTGAATTTACATATATCAATATACGGGGGTCTTTTTCCAATTTGTTTAGTCTTACAAAAGAAATTTAATTTTTCACATTTATGGATAGAACAATTCATAATTTGATACGCCTGGTCAAAGATTCTTTGTTGGATAGTATTTATGTAATATTTTAAATTAATAGTATCAAAAGTAAGATGGCCAAAACCTAATTTATTTAACCAATCTTTTACAATGTTAACCCATTTCCTTGTTTTCTCTACATTATTATATATTTTATAGACTAAAGAGTAGGTGAATTCACAATGTGGTTTAGAAATTTTACAGCTGAAAGCTGAATTTTTAAGTACAAAGGGGTTCTGTTTGTCTCAGCTAGACAAGCTACATTTGTTGTTTTGCACTGTACCTCTAAAATTTCTTTAATAAATTTTATATATAAATGTTCAAATGGATCTGAATCTTTGAACACTTCGCTTACACCCCATACTTCACTTTCATAAAGAGTGATTGGGACAACTAAAGTATCAAATAATTTTTCAAGCATATTGCAAGAAACATCTAAAGAAACTGTTTTTTTTTAATTTTAAACCAAGCCTTTCTTCCTTTTTCCATAAGAATTGTTTTTGAATGACTTAAATTGCCTGAATGATTTATTGTTATTCCAAGGTAACAATAAGATTTAACAGTCTCAAGATGCTCGTTTTCTACTTTAAAATAATTACAATGGGATTTCCCATTAGAATTGAATATTACAATTTTTGATTTTTGTTTGTTTACATCAAGTTTCCACAGGGAACAAAATTTAGTTAACTCATTAAGTGCATATTGTAGCCCTTCTTGGGTTTCTGACAATAGAATAATGTCATCTGCATATAATAATGATGTTAGTTTAACATCTCCTATAACAATTGGTTGAGTGTTTGCATGATCAAGGTCATTTACAAGGCCATCTATATAAATATTAATAAAAGTTGGGCTAAGTACATCCCCTTGTTTTACTCCGCAATTTGATATAAATTCATGGCTAATACCATTTTGAAATTTAATTCTGCATTTGTTTTCATTATACATTGATTGAATGACATTAAAAAGCCTGCCTGTAAGTCTGTTTTGGAGTAGGATGTAAAATAAACCCTCCCTCCAGACAGTATCAAAGGCCTTTCGTAGATCTATAAATGCTGCAAAAACTTTCTTTTTTTTTAGTCTTATATTTATCAACAATTGACTTTAATGAGAAGATATGATCTGCTGTTCTAGCTTTTTCTTTGAAGCCAATTTGATTTTCACTTATCAAATTATTGGTGTTAATGAACTTCATAAGTCTAGTGTGTATAATTTTATTGAATAATTTTCCCAAATCAATGAGATACCTCTATAATTAGAGGGGTCAGATTTGTTCCCCTTTTTATGAATTAATGTGATCAGACTTTTGTTCCATAATTTTGGGAAGCTGCCTTTCATAAATACTAGGTTGAAAAGTTTTGATAGGGGTTCTAATAATACTGGCATACCACATTTAATCATTTCATTAGAAATTAAGTCCCCAGCTGATGATTTACCATTTTTAAGTGTTTTAACTGCCTTTAAGATTTCAACTGGCTGAATTGGTTGATTAAATTCGTTGTCAGAATTGCAAGTATTTAGTGTCTTTTTTAAGGCTTTCAACTTTTCAATAATTATGTCATGGAATTTATTGTTTTGGATATTAGAAGTACTGTTCATTTTTTTAAAGTAGTTTATGAATAATTCTTGATCAAAATGGTTTTCTTCTTTTAATTCTGATAGAGCATTTAATTTGTTAGTAAATTCCAAAATGTCTTTGGGTCTCTTTTGATATTTAGTGAAATTTGGTCACAGATTTGACTTTTGTAACTTCTTTCTTCTTGTTTGCACCTTCTTCTTAATTTAGATTTAAATGAGTAAAATGATTTCCTGTAGGATCCATTGTCTGGAAACTTATTTACAAGAAAACTGTACTTTTTAACTGTAGTATGAAGGTCATGACAAGAGTCCGAGAACCATGTTTTTTTATTTTTCTTGATAGGCCTATTCATGATTTTCTTTTGAAAAAATTTAGTGGATGAAAGAGCTGTATCACATAATATAGCGTTAAATTTTTCCACAGCTATATTAGAATCGATCTGCCTATCACTTACAAAATCATCTAGTCTTTGTTTCACATGTGAGCTTTGAATGTTTGTAGTATAGCAACCAATTGCTTTGTTATCCCAAATAAATTTACCAGGGAGAGGATCTAATTTTGTTTCTGTGTTTTTACATTTTTGAAAGCAAGTAAGTAAGAGCAACTGATGGGACAATGATCTGAAATTGTAGTAAACTCATTAACTTTAAAGTTTCCAATGCATTCTTATATATTAGAAGACACAAGTGTATAGTCTACAAGACTGGAACCATTATATGTTATACATGTATATTTGCCCATAGGGTCTCCAATAGTTCTTCCATTCAGTATTCTGAGTCCGGATTCTTTACATAAATCAATTAATAATTTTCCACTCCTGTTTGTAGATTTCGAATCAAGATTATTTCTTAAATTATGAGAGTCAATTGAATACTCATTTTCATTTGATTTTGGGAATTTTGCTTCATCAGAAATTACAAAGCCAGGAACAGTATTAGTATAGGCATTAAAATCACCTTGAATTACAATATCCCCGAGTCAACTATAGTGCTCAATATTCCTAAGCAACTTTGAATAAACTTCATTTATATCTTCTGTACAACCAGAAGAATGTTCTGGTGAAAAATATACTGTAGCAATAAAAATATCATTCTTTAGATTAAAAAAATGTTTATCTAGTTTAACCCATACAGCATTATTATGAGTACAAGATAGTTTGGATATACCTTTATATATAGAAATTCTGACATACAGAGCAATACCACCAGAACCACGTCTGGTTCTTTTATGTGTTTTCCTGGTACTGTAACATATAAAATCAAATCCAGGTATATTATCAACAGGTTTACCACTGTCACTCCAAGTTTCAACAAGACTAATAATATGCATTTTT